CAACTACATTTTAAAACCCCAGCACTCAGTTATACTGGAAAAAACATTACAATTAGAATGAAATTTCACAAAAGCATGTGAATTATGAGTCAAGTATGTTTTAAGCACTACAAACCCACACGCTAGGATTTAGACATGCATGGGCTTCTGGAGACCTTGTACCACAGTCAGTGTTTTATATCACTAGAAAACATGTAAACAAGGGGTGATCCAATTCTACCTTCTTTTAGATACTTACCATTTGTAATAGCAAGACTGACTTTCCACTGCATAATAAGGTGAAGGAAAGATAAGTGCTTTACTCTCAGCAGTTGTCCTTGAACATAGCACCTGAAATTCAATGTACTGTATCAAGTGTATATAGTGGTTAACTACAGCAAAGTATGTTGTTTTTTGCAGTGCCGAAGAAAAATTTCCATAGAAACCCCATAACTTGTTACCTTGAACTTGGAAAATGACCATTTGAGGGAACAAAAGCAAATAGACAAAAAACAATAGATGCTTACAGTAAGACACTCAACAAAGAGTTGGACATGTGCCTGTATGAGTATTAAGATTGGCACCCACTCTAAGCTGAAAAGAAAGCAATTCTTTAAACACTGTTTAAGCTAAGATCTAAACCATTACAAGAGGGATGCAGAGCCATTGTGCTCGTCACTCACGTAAAGAATATCTGTGGACTTTGTTCAAACCAGTTTCTCTGTACTTGAAGGAGCATTTTATGCGGTTCTTCTGAGCTTGGTGTAAGGTCAATGTGACGCAGACCCACCAAGAACATGGTAGCGTAAAGCAGGAGAAAGAAGGAACTCCATGTTTCCCAGAAAGGAGAAAAACATGGATTAAAAACAGATTTCTGCCGTATGACACAGCCTAGAGAAACCATAGATCAAGTTAGCTTTCTGCATCTTCCGTGTAATTCAACAGGTACCCAAATTACTGATTTTTTTTTTTAATGACAGTTCTCTAGAGCTGAAAAGCATATCTAGTGGATGTAAAAATAATTTTGAAACACTTCTGAGGTACTTCAAAGTATCATGTTGCAAAGTGTCTGAAACAAAAAAAAAAAGAGATTTTTATGTGAATTCCTGTGGTATAGCACAGATCAAAGTTATTGAGGGCGTAAATTTGTGTGAATAAGTTTATGTGAATAGGGTATGATAAATTAATCTTTTTCCAAAGTTTATGTTTACATTCATGGTTTCTCTGTGCCTGTATGTGCAGGATGCTAAAGTATGAGTGTTCCTATCAATTTAAAACCTTTCTAAAGGGAATAGTATTCCATGTGAAAGAGGCCCTTACCTTCCAGTCTGCAGCAGAGTATTGTCCTTCAGAAAAGTTTGTATTTCTTTTAAAATCATTTTGTGCAATCCGTTGTGACATAATATGTCCATATCATGGTCCTATTTGTTTGGAAACAAGTATGCTTTGACCTCAATGCCAGTTGGTTGATAGATGAAACTTACTCGGCCTGTAACTGGTGCTTGTTCTTTTCCTCCTTACTTGTAAACTCTGCAGGGGAGGAAAAAATGTCAGAATTTCCATTTCACAGGAAATTCAAATATTTTAACATATGGCTTTGTCCCAAACTTCAGATGAAAAGAAAAAGTTCTGAAAAAAATTTTGCTTGGAACGTGTGAAAAAAAACGCAGTTAATGTGACACTATAATGCATCTGCTAGCAGTAGCACAATACCTCCTGGAAGCAGAAATTTTAATGATTTATTCCACAATTCTTCATGGACTGGGTCCTTTGAAGAGACTACTTCTGCTGTTATGTTTATACTTACAACTCTCGTGATGCAGCAGGACCTTGTCTGTGTGACTAGACACATCATCTCTGAGATGCTGGACTACAGATATGAGCGTTAATATTAAACTGATTGTTTTGGCTCAGTTCTACAAACCAGAACATCCCTTCCTAAATCAAGCCAAACTGAAGTATCTCATTCTTTTCCTTCTTCTCCTGATGAAAACTCAGTAGCATTTTCACAGAAACGCACACAACTGAGCAAAAATGTAATTTTCCATTGAAAAAGTCATATGATTTAAAAAAAAAATAAATCCAGCAAGCTCTAATAATGAGTAATGTCTTTGCTGCCTGTTCTACTCCTTCATATATACTCAAAATAAGTCTTGTTACTTTTATACACTAACGCTTGCCATTCCCTTCCTATATGCAGTGTTCGTTAATTTTGAAGCACTTTAACCTCCCTTCTCCTACTTCCCCATCTTTCCTCTTCCATCTATTAGTTGTGCTGTAGCTGATACTGTCCTATCAAGTATATTGTGCTTTTGGATCTCTTTGCAGGGTCTTTTTTGTTTTGGTGGTGGGGAGGTGAGGGGAAGGGGGATGTATGTAATTTATTTTTTGTGCGTGTAATGAACCATAATTATACAAATGCTTTTTCCAAAATTTCTTTAACCTCAGATACCTAGCATGTGTGGGAGAGGGGCAGAAATAGAGGAACATATCCTGGGTAAACATGTGGTACTACATTTGCTTCAGTCGGGACAAGAGCACAAATGATAAGGGCAAACTTAAGTATGTACTTTAAAGTATGGAAAGAAAAAAGTAGACATTTACAAATTATGAAGTACTAATGGAATTTTTGCACTTTTATGAGGTACTAATGGAACATTGCCAAAAGGTTCATATGAACTACCAGAGAAATAACATCCTCTTTGAAATAGTACATCTGATCAGAATGTAGGGAGGTGTTAGATTTAGTTTTGCAGCAAAGGATACAAGCTCTACTGCAGGAATCAGTGAAAAGAAAGGATGCAAGTGTAGATAAAGATGGTGTGGGAGGGTGTATGTGGTATCAGAAGCATTCGTTCTGGAATTTACCTAACAGAAAAGTCATTGAAGTATAATGCAGTAAGTGTGGTTTTAATACTAAGCACAAAAATGCTCTGTTTCAAAGTTGTTTCAGAAAAGGAATAAAATGTAGGAATATACTTCTGCTTATATCCCATTTAATGATTAAGAATTTTTACAATTTAGGAAGAGGGAAGTTTTAAGTAACATTTATCAAGTCAGTAAGAAGAGCATGTGCTTGGAAGAGTCTGCAGAGAAGCTATCAAAGGGGAAGGAAGAAGCTACTTAAAATAAGCAAGCAGAGGAAATGTAATTAAATGTTAGGACAGATAATGCAAGGAGAAATAAAAGGGTGATAGATCGTGGCATTGACAATGAGCAAGTGATATTCCTTGATCTAGCAAAGTGACATAGAGCTGACCAGGACATACAGAGGCTCCAGTTTCAAAGGTGTGCTATAAAAACACAAATACAGAAGTGGCATTCAACTGTTAAGATCACATGACAGGCATACCTTCTCAGCTCGTTTATGTATGCATATGTGCCAGGTTGAACAATCACTTTTATGGGCATGATAACAAGGGATGCTTTCTGAACTTTGATTCAATAAATCAAAGTGTATTCTGTAAATACACAGCACAATCTGTGTGTGCTATAAAATGTGTGTGCTCATTGTCCTTTTCCATTTCTGGGCTCAGCTCCTCAGTCCAGAAATTCTTTTACTTTCTATTGCTCTTTTAAACTTTGGACGGCATCTTGTGTGCGTTTACAGCTTCTGTACAGAAAATAGCTGCAGCTATCTGGTAATTAATTTGCCAGGCACAACTTGCCAAGGAGAGGGGAGCATTCTTTTTGTGATCTTGCAGTGTTTTTAGATGTGAGGAGGTATGATTGGTGTTTGGTGATTGCCAGAGCTTCTACCCAAATTATGAAACACATATCATGATGGTGAAGATGATCAGCTTATGTTTGCTTCAGGAGGTGTACTGGCAAAGAGATCAGTGATGTAATTAACATAATTACAGCTATTCTCACTTTAGATTTTTTTTTTTTTGGTAGGGAGAACAGGAGGAGGTTCTCCTTGCATAGAAATTTATAAAGACCAGTGATATAAACAGAAAACAAAATGTTTTTTAAAAAAAAGTAGAGAAATTGAAAGTTTGGTACAAAAAGTTTCTGTCAGAAAGACCGAAACCAAAGGCAGAATGATGAACCAGCTTCTAATATAACTTGCAAATAAAGGGCTTATATTTACAACTTGGAATGCATAAAATGTGTTTAGTACACAGTTGAGTATTTCAGTGCAATAAACTCAGAGGTGCAGTTCAAACTCAATTTTGGATATTAGGATCAGCTCACCCTACGGATTTATGAGTCACTTGATTCTTTATAAAGAAGATAGACTAAGACCCAAAATATACAAAGCACATCTTAATTTATAGAATAATGTTCTACTTTCAAAGTCTAATAAAAGGAATTATAGTTCATCCAAGGTGTTAGTATTTATTCACTACATCTTATGTAAACTACTGCCATCGACAGTGACTCTATACCGCATCAAGGTTTCTGTAAGGAGACAGATAAAGAGCTTATCTCCTACATGTGTTCTGACTTCTCTTCACGATTTTCCTGCTCCATTGACTTGTCTGTCTTTGGGCCTTTGGTACCGTATGTGAAGCTTTCTTCCAGATAGGAGAAAAAAAAACCACTTTTTATCCCAGAAACATGGTGAACATCAACTGCATCAAAAATTCCCAGTTGTAAAACGCTGCAGGCAAAGTCATAGCCACACCTGTGGCTCATCTAAGTGTTTCTTATTTTTACAGCTATTCAGAGATTCATTTTCCAGTTCATAATACAGTTTATCTCTGGTGCTTTGCATTGGATAAAATGTGGATGGTCCGTCAGGCTCTTCTGACTGTGTCAAGGTACTGATGATGACCACGTTAGGAGGTTAGTGGTGAGGACACTGAAGAAAGAAATAAGTACTGCTGGCTCTAGAAAGCTGAAGTGTATGGATCTGCTGCACACTAGTAAGAAAAATACTACCCATTTATGAGATCTAGCAACAGACTGAGCATGGTAGCATTATGCTTCCCTGTTAAAACCTTGGCTACATGCATGCACACAGCATGTTCTAAGTTTACGCTTTCCTAACCATGCATTTTCTGTTTTTTCACTAGGGCATATTTCAAAACCTTTGTCCCTCAGTTCCAGGAGGCAGCATTTGCTAATGGGAAGCTTTAGGCAGCCTCAAACACAGAGACGATACTGGACAGATCCTTCAGTCTGCGTGTGTCAGCACACAAGAAGAATGCCTGGAAATGGGTTGGACTCTCTTGATAGGTGCTTTCATGCCTCTGAAATGGTTTTGGTAGCTTCAGGTTTTGTCAGATTTCAAAAACAAAGACCTCAGTAGCATGCTTAAAACTGAATATTTGATATTCATCCTGTCCCTTTGCCTCTGCCACCATCATTTCTTTATATATCTACTGGATTAAATTTAAAAGAGTGTGTTTTGATGTGATAACATTTTCTTGTGCCAACAGTGTCCTGTATGTTATGCCTTGTTTCCTTGCCTTCAGATGGTGTAAATTGGATTTTTTTTTTTCCACAGAAATACGATGTAATTTGTATATTTAGTTAACATTTCCAGCTTATCCTAAGAAAATACAAAACTGCCGTATGTACCAGGAATGCCTAATGGACTGTACAGTGCCATATTCTGCCTTGGAGGTTTGCGTCTCACTGTGGTTGTTACTCTCAGAGGTATGGATATGAGTTGCACAGTTCTATTCTCAGTGCCTTTCAAGTTGGTCTGATATTAGTATGGCAGGGTGTCGGAGATTTTTTTTTTTTTAATATTTCAGTTGAAAGCTCATCTTATAGAAAATGCTTTGCTTTTATGCTTTGTTTTTATTTCCAGTTGCACAACAATTTCAGTGTTTTTCTAATGAACTCCCCTTGCCATTACAAAAAGTTCTACTTCTTTAGTACCAATGTGCAAGGAACTAATTATATAAATCAGTACAACAAAAATAAAGCTCTTTCATAAGCCTGTAGTTTTTCCAAGTAAGATAAATACTGCTAAGAAGCAAAACTTCTACAAAAGAATGAAAGATGTATTGGAAAATACCTGATGAAATAGTGTACTGCAATAGGTATTTAGCTTAATGCTAAAGTTCAACGTGTATTCTCAGAAATAATTTTAAGTATAGATAACTGGAAACATTACCTCCACTAATTCTGAAATGCCAAATGCAAAATCCCGCCTATTCATCCTTTCTTTCACGCTTGTGTCAGGCTCACCAGTTGGGGCTAACTGTCACAATGTCACTTCTCAAATTAATTTGTAAATAGACCAGGGTACTTTCCAGTAAGGAATAAAATTAACAGTGTATGTTGCTTACAAATGGCATATGGAAAATGTGCCCTACTTCTGCTAAATATAAGGAACTAAATGAATAGTATGCAGATGATACAGTGGCACTGCAAAACATTTAATTTAGAATTATTCACCATAGCACCACTATATGCTTATGCAATGAAATCTCATCAAATTATTTGATTGGCAATATTCTCCTACTCTCCTACCCTTTCTAAAACTTGTTATTTTACATTAAAAATAGTGCTTTCCAGGGGAATGTCCACCTAGAAAATGCAGATGGGTTTTGAGCAGTGAAGCTTAATAATTAAGAATTATGCAAATAATTTGCCTCTAGAAACTACAGGGTTTTTTAGTTTATTGACAAAATGTTAGTTTATGTTTAATACTGAAGTTCTTGGCTGGAAATTAAGCTGCAAACAAAATCAGAAGCCTTACTACAAATCTACAGAGGAGGGGGCATACTCTGTCCTGTGACCCACCACCACCTTGTGACTCTCTCTGCGTTATCTGAGGGTTGTAAACAGCTCCAAAGGTCTGAGCCTGAATTCCCTGTGTGAAGGCATTGCGCTAGGTTTCTGCATGCAAACCAAGACTTGCAGCAGATGCAGAGGGTAATGGTTTTATGTGAATAGCAAAATAGTGACTGAACACCCTTAAATGACTCAAAACACACATTGTTCAGTATACCGGGATGATCTCACATCTGCATTTCTTCAGGTACAAGTCAAAGCCACACACACATCTTCAAGAACAAGCTAACTCTTGTGAATGGGGTGGGAGAAGGAGGAGGGCTAACAAAAAGCATTTGTTCTCATATTGTTCAAAATCTGATAGAAACCATCTCAGGCATCTTCAGAAGGTAAAAACCAAACCCTCAATTGCATCAGCAGATTCCTGGAGTTTTACATTTTATACCCTTTGCATGGCTAGCAATTGCAAAGTGTTTCGAAAAGATGTTCACTCTTCAGAATTAATGGGCACTTTCAACCAAAAATGCATCCATCACATCAGTCCTAGTAATTTTGGACAAAGGTCTGCTTTATTATTAAAGGACTAAGAGTTTTAGAAGCCATGTAAGAAAAGACTATGAGGATATAAAAAACCCAAACCAGCAATTTGTTATGTTGAATTCAATAGTTTCACCAACTTTTCACTATCATATATGGAAATGAACCAATGATTTCAGTCTAATTTTACATCATGGTATAACCGGTAGTATTTGAAAAAAAAAAAAAAAAAAAAAAAAAGGTAGAAGAGTTTAGAAATTGGGCTGTTTGTGTTTAAGATGAAGTCTGTGAGCCTATAAATTTTTAGCTTAGAAGAAGAGATATTTTTCTTACGCTTACTGAACATTTTCTTTATTTCAAAGCCACTCTGCACTCTTTGACCTGCACAGTCTTTTATGGAGCCTTTTCAGATAGTTCTCAGAAGAATGTATTGGGGATGTTAGCACTACAAATGCGGTATTGGGAGGGAAAACATGGAAATGAGTGAACTCTTCTCTCTGGGAGTATTACCACATAAATACTACATCAGAAAAGAGAGTTAGTTTGGATAATTTTATATCGAATCAAGTATTTGTTGAAGGCATTAGTCACAAAAGTTGTAATCTAATAAATTGGAGTTATTTATGTTATCTCCTGCATCATGATAACATCCATTGTGGCCAGTTTAATGGCAATGAGGCTTTCAGCACTTTCTTTCCTATTATGTGATACATGCAAATGAAAGGAGCAGTCAGACCTAGACTAGTTTCTTTCTTTGGTTTATGAGAACGACAAAACAGGAGAAAAATAGCAATGCTACAAACATATCGAAAAGTCTAAATTCTACTCTGTCATAAGTGAAAGAGTGCAGTAAGTCTCAAGTTACTAAGACCCACTAATGCATGATTTTCCAAAGGTCCTTAAAGTACAAACTTACAGTCAAGCCTTTATTCATCTGCATATGTAATCCACTGTGCTATAAGTAATACCAAATCTTTCGGATTCAAAGTTCAACTTTTTGTGAACTTGCTGGAAAGACTGGACAAGCAGCTGGAAGAATAAATAAAAGTTAATGATACCATACGTGGTTTGGCTTTCATTGATCTTTCTGTTGTGCTGGTCATCACTTCGTTGATCAGCACATTCAGTTTGCTGACTCATCAGCATTTTCAGTATCACCCGTGCCCTTGAACATCCTCCCATTCATATATGAAGTAGACTTGACTCAGTTTTTAAGAAGAAATCATTTCTCGAATTAGCACAGATCTCCTACGCATTGTTAGACCCTCACTAGACATGTTTTTGTGTGTGTTTCCTTTCTCTCATCCTGTCTGGCACCTGTGGCAATAGGCATGTTTGGTGAATCAGCTGGGAGATGAGATTTAGCAATGAAGTGCAGTACCTCAAGTGTTACTTCAGGTGGTTTTACACAGAGACTTCTTACCTAGGAAAGAGGGGAATAAGTTTGCGTAGTCTCCGTTCATCAGTGCCCCCTAATACAAGGCTGGGGGTTTAGCAGAAATCAAAAATCTGTTTTAGTAGTGAAAAGGGACTGCTGCTTAGACATGCTTCTATGTCAGTGCCTTTAACAACCAGAGAAGCAGCCGGCAGTAGAAACTCATAGTAGCCCATGAGAGTCACTCCTACAGGTCTGAAATACATTTCTAATGCCATGTCTGCACAGCAGCAATACATGGGGATGAAGGGGCAGGTCCTCTGTCAGTGCAGAAGAGGAGTTCCTTTCCTTTCCAGCCTTGTGAGAAAGGCATGCTGCAATGAGGTAACAAGCTTCGGACACCGCTTCTGACCATGCCTTAATTACAAGGTGCTGTCCCTGCCCTGTGAAGCAAATTAAGTCTGTGACCAAACTGACTGCCAGTGAATGCTCTTCCCTTAAATTACTTAGGTCTCTGTAATTGATGTATTGTAACGCTCATTAAACCTAAAGGTTGCACTTGCTTCTTAAATGTTACTGAAAATCCCTTAAGTCATCTCCTTTTCAGTTTTTATTTTCAGGTGTCTGTAATGTTCTGGGACAATTTTGTTTCATCCTTACTAGTTACTGCTATTTTTAGCAAGTTTGAGGTTTATATTTAAGAGGGCAACAAGGTATGTGCCAGCATCTTATGGGCCTACATTAAACATAGAATTATTTGCTGTGAAAATAATCAGTAGAAACTTTTTTATTTATTAAGCCAAGTATTGTATTCTCCACAACAGAATAATTCTGAGGAAAGACTCCTTTGTTACCCAGAACAGACAAAAGTCATGCTGATGGCATTGGATACATTTTTTGCACCAAATCTTGGTTTAATTTACATCTTAGCATCAGCAGGGGGAAAGTATATTCTCCTTTTCTGAAGGAAGCCTGCATCCAAATAAACCATTGATCAGGCTATATCTTTTCCTGTTTTTACTTTGAAACAATAGGGTTTGTCCCTATGGGCAAAGCCAGTAAAAGTCTGAACAATGTACGTCAACAGTAGAGGGGTTTTTAATATATTTATTTACCAATTTCAGTAGATTCAGAGAATTTCAGACTTTGTGCTGGGGGAAGGTAAACAACACATATATCAAAAACATGAAAGTAATTTTAGCTACCTATGAAATAAAAGACTAGCAGTCTAAATATTGTTCTGCAAGAACTCAAAGGTTCTGCCATATATTCCTAATCATGTGGCTTGAAAAGTCATGGCGTGGAGGTGATTTTAGTGCTGCTTTTCCTATTCTATTCCCTGTCTTACATTTAAAAGCTCAATTCTTGGTTCCAAGGCACTGCACAAACACCATTTTGTTAAAATGGTAGTTACCAAGCAAAAAGGCAGGGGGGAGACTGGAATCAGCTGCTGAAAATAGGTCTTAAATCATCAAGAAATCAACAAAGGAAGCAAGGTTTGGCGGCTGCCCTGCCACTTGCTGAGTCTACAATATGGGCCTTCAAACACATCCCCAGTGCAAATTAAAAAAAATACAAGAGGTTTTTCTTGCAGTGCTAAAGAATAAATACAGTTTTAAACAACAGGAAGTACAGCAAGCGTTTAATTGCAGGCATGAAAAGCAAAATACACACTAGAAGTCTAGCGTTATTTGTGCCTATGGTTCCCCGCGTTTCTCCTGTCACCAGAGAGGGTGAAGAATTAATGCCTCATGCTGCAGCTGCCCATGGTGAAAATTGATCCTTGGGGTGCTCCATGTTTTCATCAAACTCTATTTAAACCCTAATGATGCTTTTTTCTATCCCTGAGGATAGCAACGCAGTACCAGGGAAAAGCAAATCTTGCACTATCAGGGGTTTCTTTTCCACGGCTGCTCCATTTCAAACCCTTGATTTGGGTGGGGCAAGTACTTTGTAAGCCATCATGCCTGCCAGCAAACAGGGTACATTTTATTTCCCCAGTGTTTATTTGAAATGATTCAAGCTGATTATAATTTGACATCTTGTTTCCTTTATTCCACTGTCCCTTTCAGCAAAAGTTTTTTAGTACTTGTTTAAAAATCAGAGCCATCGAGGTTGTTTGTGTCTTTCGGAGGGGACGTAGCACTGGTGTGAGAGCAGCAGCTCGAGGTTGGAGCGGTGCGTTTCTTCTCCGAACTGCACAGTCAGCAGCAGCCCAAGCATCGCGCACCCCCCAGCAAACCGCACTTGAGCTCCGTCTGACAGGATGACAAGCAGGAGTGACAAAAACTCTTGACCTTTTTTTGCTTTTCCTCAGAGGGCAAGCGAAACAGCCTCCGCTGGGTCAGTCGCTGTATGTAGCCTCCTCTACCACCCAGGGCCCCTTTGCTCCTTCTCGGTGAGATCCTGGCTGCAAGAGGTAACGGGCTTTGGCTGCTCATCAGCTGGGGCTAGGTTCATCTTTGTACCGAGCAGAGGAGCTGTGCCAGAGGGGAATGCCACCCTGCTGCTGCTGAAGCCCGGCATTTCCTCTTAACGCCTCGATAGGAAAAGGCGGCTGCAAAATCCAGCTGAAACTCAAGTACAGCCCTGCCAGCTAAGGGTGATTTCTTGTGTGTTTTGGCCAACCGAGCCTGCTCTCTGTTCAGCTGCCTCCGTTCTACCGGGGAGCAGACGTTGCAGAAAGCTTTCTCCTTGCATCGCCAGCCCTAGAGGCACATAAAAGGTTCGGGGGCCATCAGCAACCAGCTTCTCACCTGGACTTTTCTATCCTCTTTATGAGAAGGGGAAGGAATATGTCCTAAAAAGAATCTGTATTATAGAAACAGTTTCTTTCTTACATTTCTTTAGTTTCCGTGGCTTGTTTCAATGGTTGTTTCACCATCACGCTCTGGTGAAAAAGATACTGTGGCATGCTGTGTTTCCTAGACTGTGCTCATCTCCCTCTCCCTGGTATTCAGTAGGTGATGTGTCTCAGCATCTCTGTTTGCCTCTGGACCATAGGGGTGCTCTCAGGCAGCCCACAGGTGAACCAGGAAAGAGGACGGCGTCTTCTGGTTTCAGCAAGAAAGAGGTGAGTTTGGGTGAATGAGCTTGTGCTGTGAGGATTGGGCTCATTTTCTTCAGAGCACCCACAGCACTTCTAGCCAGGAAGAAATAACAGCTTCAGTCTAATGGGGTCAGATAGCTAAATGGAGCAGTTTCCGCACGGTGGTGACTGGTATAATTATACGCTGGGCCGTGGCGTGTCTGGTCCTAATAGCACCCAGGACTCTTGTGAGTGACTCAGCTGCTGCTTGAGGCTAATTATGGGCAGGTTGCATGAAAAACCCCCACAACTTGATCCTGCCTTCCTCTCTGCCAGTGGATGGGTGTTCAGCACTGACACGGATTGCTCATGCAAAGCTGGGTAAATGCCTGCTCATGAGGAAAAGGCTTTTCAAAGCAAGGCTGCAAACAACACTCAGAGGTGCCGGGTTTGAAGAGAAGGTGGTGTCTCTCAGGACATCACTCAGCTGAATCTGATTCCCCGTCTCTGGCATTAGCCAGTGCTGGGGTACTTTACAAGAGAGATTCCAAAATAATCCAATCACTTGATTTGTCGTGCTTGTTATGGGTGATAGGAGTATTTCTTCTGCGTTTGCAATGGCCATTTTGTTGAATTTAGCGTTATTTTTATTACGGTGTTCTAGAAATGGATCATGGCATTATTTGGCCCTTTTTAAAACTGAACCATGTATTCAGCACTGTGATACGCTCTGTCAAAAGGGTCCCCACATTAGCCATACGTTGCCTTTTCTGCTTCAGAGAGACCTTGGAGCAGGCTCAAGAAGCAGGTCAGATGCTTAAAGTCAGCTCAGAGAAAATTCTCAAAAGGTACTGGAGGCTGCCGGTATCACTTAACGCATTATTTGTACAGACCCCATCTTTGCTAAGAATAATTTCTACTGATTTTAAAGCATATACGGGAAAGAAACATCAGAAGTAGATACCTATGTCTAGCATTATATACACAGGATATGGGGAGCTGCAAGAAGCTGTTGAAATAAATTTGCAGCGAGTTTCATGACTCATTCCTTCAGGCTCTGTCAGATTATGTTTACGGGGAAGACCTTTATCAAAAATTCTTCCTCCAGAAGCAATGCCATTAAAAGCACAAATCTCCAGGATACCAAGTCCAGGGCAGATAGCATTTCCACCAAGAGGACACAGTCCAGCAGTGGAAGAGGTGCCCCAAAGGTTGGGGCATCTCCCTGGAGATCTCTGAGACATGAGTAGGCAAAGCCATGGCAGTCCTGGTCTAGCAACTGGTGATAGTCCTGCTTTAAGCAAAAGGTTGGACTAGATGACCTACAGACATACCTCTCGGGCAACCTGGACGTGGTTTTATCAACTTTTTTAAAACCAGTGATACAGGCCCAAGCACAACCTGATATTATCTCCCATTAAAGATTGTTCAGAGGCAATAGCACATGGAAACGAAATGAAGAGCAAAGTGGTGAGATTTCAGAAGTTACTGTTTCTAACCATTTTTAGATCTTAGAAGTGCAAATACATAAATTGAGTACTTTTACAGTCACTTGCCTGTGTTAGTAGGGACAGCTGCAAAAATGTGGCTGATGCCTATACAACATGGTGCTCTTAAGTAACTGCCTAAGCTGATTCTGAGCACAGTAGCTTGAATACT